TATATATATATATATATATATATATATATATATATATATATAGCGTCGATTCTATCTGATCCGCGCCGCGGTATGGGTTCTAAAAATTTTAACGGCGTTTTATTCGGAGAGGATAAAAAGAACATTTAAGAAGTTATATTAAGGATAAATTTCGAATTTGTATATTAGAATTATTCCAAGAAAAATATGGAAATATTACATTTGTGATCGAGGGGCTATTCACTCAGCTATTGGATGTACACGTGATTACAAAGTACAGTTGATTACAATTGATTACAGTTGATTACGATGTGATTACAACTATAAAGTGATTTTATACGACTGTGTGAAATCGATTGTGATCACAGCTGATTTCATTGTGATTACAAATGATATCACAGTGATTATAAATGACATCATTGTGATTACAAATGATTTCATTGTGATTACAAATGATTCTATTGTGATTGCAAATGATTTCAATAGCATTACTCGTTATTATTGCTAATTTTAATGTAAATAATGTTACAAATTTATCATAATTTTAAATTATAATATATAATAATAGAAATCATTAATTAATGCTTTAAATAATTTTAATATAATTGATTAGATTTTATTTAACTTTTGAAGCAACATGCCAATTTTTTAAAAAGTTTAAAATAATAATATATATAATATTATACGAGTAATTTGTATTATTAAATGTACATCATGAAAAAGTAAAAAAATAAAAAGTATTTTATAGTATTCATAAACTTTATTTAATTCACAAAGTAGCTTGTTATAATAATCATAAAAAGGTTATAAAAGTATAATATATTAATTATAAATACTTTTTTATCTTTTCAAAAACATCATGGCTTAGCCTTAAGTTTAAATCAGTCATGCATGGAGCTGAAATAGTTATAACATATTGTTTAATGTCTATGTATCCTTGTATTTCCATTTGCTCTGGATTTAAGCATTCTTCCTTATCTACAGAGTACCAATGGCACAGTACTCCCACAATATTTTTATTGCCTTTAATTCGCGCAGTGTTACTGGAGTATTCTCTTGCCTTCCAGAATTTTTTTTCCATATAGGCAAATCCAAGGACAAAACCTATTAAGCATTTTTTTATTTCAATATTTTTAAATAAGCACCAGTCTCCAATCTGTATTTCCTCGCGAGTTTCACAAAAACTAAGACCAGAAGTCTTTCGAGTCATCAAACGATACTTAGAAAATTCGCATTCTCTTACACGCTGTAATCTATCACTGCTTAAATTACAATTATTTCGGTTTAATAACCAACATATGGAAGATTTCCGAACAACAATCTCGTTATTCTGTCCATCTTTTACAATGGTAAAAGGACTGTCAGATTTTATGTCAGTTTTATTTTTATCGTAACCACGAAGGTTCAACGATCCTTCAATACACGATAAAACAGTCAAATCTTCTAATAAGTTAAAATCATCAGATTCATTGTCCAGCATACTTTGCGCATCAGAACTGTGATTAGAAGTCTGATCTCTATCCTGATTGTATAATGAAGGATCGTTAGCATCATCTTCTTCTAAACGTATAATATCGCCGATTTCAATGTTTTTTATGTTAATGAACTGTGATTTTGATATGTCAACATTCATACCTAACATTGAAATATCTGAAAATGCTTCTAGTTTCGCTTTTTCAATAGTTTGCTGTATCTCTTCAATGCCTGGAAGTGATAAATTTATTACATCAGAAGTCGAACTAAACTTTTTAGCACGCGGAAAGCTGAATCCTTGCTCAGTTGCAACAGAGCTCATTGAGGATATGTCACTCTGTAACTGTATACGTTTAATTCTGTGAATACTTTCCAGGAGACTGCAATTAACAATTGTTGAGCAAGTAGAACTCATTGATCGTAAGTGACGAAAAAAGCTTTCGCATGGTTGACTGCTAAATAAAAATGGTACAAAAAGTTCGGGTTGATTCATCTTATTTAAAATTAAAATCACATTTAATAAATTTTGTCCATTGATTTCTAAACATACGTATGTATTGAGAGTAATGAAATTGTTCGTTATAGAATATTCCGGTATATCATTCAAATAAGCTCTCCATAAACGTAAAAAAAAGATACAATACCATATATTGAAAACGCGTTCCAAAGGGGTCATCAATTTACATAAAAACGCATTAAGAGCCCGATGAATAATATTTAAATATGCTATTGTAGCGTCACTTCCAGGGACATTAGTTTTTAAGAGCTCGCGCACTCTTGGATGAGATATTTTTATGACAGCATCAAAGTTCATTTTATCCTTGAGTGATAAGTCTTTTTGATTTAAACAGTGTTTATCTTTAGAAACAATTTCGTAAAGAATTTTTAAATGACTTGCTGAAGCAATGTAACTACCCATTGGCAATACGATAGAATTCTTTAGAAGTCTTGTTCTCAATTTAGTGCCAATATGCACAGTGTCTTGAATGAAAGACGTATTCAACATAATCGAGTTAGGATTTGAATCCAATTTTAATACTGGTGAAATTGTTTGCCTTTCTCCTGCCTTCCTAATAATGCCAATGTTTGACGATATTTTCATTGCTTTAAGTAACCTCGGATCTCCATCAGAAGAAATGCCAAGTACTGTTATGCCAGCGTCTTTTAATTTTTGAATCATATAATTCCAACGCTTAATTACATCATCAGCTGTAAATTTGTTATCAGAACTGTATAAACATAGGCAAAATGAAGGAGCATTTTCTACTAATGGCTGTGCTATAATTACGTACAATAAATTAGCTGCTGTATTATTAATAAAATACTCCTCAATCTGTTTTGCAGAAGTAGCCGTAAAAGAACTTTTTATAGGCATGCCATTTTCATCTAATGGCAAGGAAAAGCCTACAAGTTGATTCGTTTTAGAATCATATTGTACCCGACCTGTTATTCTGGTTGCGTCTTCGCTAAGCCATAGAACTGTAGGTAAATTTCTTGACTGTAAGAAATTTACTAATTCTGCAACACGAATATCGCCTTCAATTATTATTGCACTTGAGTCATCTAAAGTACGGCTTACCGTGCTTAACGAAGGCAGTGGCAAATTTGTACACAACGTTTCGTATAGCATTCTACCCCCTATAATGTATAGATAAGTTGCAAACAGCTTAAGGGTATCATTATACCGAGCACTTTTCTTTTTGCCTGTGTTTTTATTAGCAGTATCTACTAAAGATTTTAAAAACGAAGATTGTGTTACGGTTGATGCCGGATAAAATTCTTTATTAGAATTATTGCTCGACTTTTCCAAAAAAAGTTTTAAAGCATTACTTAATTCTTTATTTTTTTGAAGTTCTATCTGTAATTGATTAAGAACCGGAAAGTACATAGAAATTCGCGGTTGGAACTCATCTACCGAAAACAATTTTCGCTTTTTTCTTGCCAAGCGTGTTTGGCGCAAAGAACTACGTGATTGAATCTTGGGTCGAACATTTGTTATAGAAATTAATTTTCCCACGAGATGATTCGTTCGATAATCATCTCGGGTTAGCATTCCCCCGTCGCCGTTCCATCTTGTATATTATCCTTTTTTGATGACACAGTTGACTGCGATGTTGAAGTTGAGGCTTCAGGTTCCTTTGGAGAAACTATCAACATATTTGTATTTGTAGAGTCAACTGGCATTGAAATAATAGAAGTGATGGAGAGATCCTCGGAGACATCGGTACCTTCTGAAAGCAGCAACTCATCATCCACTATGGTGTATTCAGCAATTACATCTCCAATTACATTGCTGTTAGAATCGTAGTTTGTTTCCTTTTGAAGAGCGGGTGATTTGGCGGACGCTTGCAGCAAGTGAAGAACATTACTTGAGGACTTGTCTCGCTTTTCAGTAAGTTCAGTAGATTTCTGGTGTTGGAAAATGTGTCTTTTGAAGTTGGAAATTATCCATCTGGAACTTTTACCTTTTGTTGTTCCACATTTTGTGATATTGGTCACAAATAAACACGATGGACAAGTAATTCCAGCAACATATGTAAATCCTTGAGGGTAAGTTTCTCCATCATAAATTTCCTTAATTGAAACTTCGATCTGTACGTATCCTTTCAACAAGTTACGCAATTTTTTATTTAGATTTTCGTCTTGACTGAAAGATTTAACAAGCTTTGTTAATTTATTAATTTCTTCCCTGATATTAGGATTCTTCTTTTCATGTAGTTCAGATTTTTTCTCGGATTTTAAAATGTGCTTGTCTTCGGGTTTAGAAAGTGCTCGTTTTTTACAAGACGGTTCTCCAAATTCTTCGCAGTCTGTCGATGGTAACTTCCAATAATCCTTCGGTGCTTGTTTAACCATTTTAACCAGCTCCAAAATTAGATGTCTGTCTCCAATCATAAAACGAAATTTTTCAGGCATGTTGTGAAATATTCCGAAATAGTCCCTCATATTGGAGTTGGGTTCGATAAAAGATATCATCATAGTTTGAGCAAAGATTTCGATTTCTTTTAATACATCTTCCGTAATGTTCCGAAATGAAAGAGGATTGTCCATGTTATTTAAACGCATAATGTTTTTAATAGTTGGGGATATGTATGCTCCGCTATCCCTTTCTAGTATATTCCAGAAATTACATTGTCGTTCATCATTGGTAACTTGGGAAACTAGAGAAGAACCCTCGGGAGAAACCGAGGGAGAAACATTCTTTTTCTTCAATTCTTTATCTTTCTCACTCGCTTCGTCCATTTCTCTGTAAAGATTATACATATTTAACTTCAAATTGATAATTTATACGACAATTATAACATAGAACTTTCTGTGCTGGCTGAGTATTTATTATTCATAATCTACTTATAGTTATTAAAATATAGAACAACACGTCGTGGTCAGTGTTGTAAATAAAACCATGACCACCATTCATGTAGTATTATATTTTATATATACTTCAATATTTAAAAGGAATACTCTTTGTGATGGCCTTCTTTTAACTAAGCTCCCGACTAAGATTTATTAAACTTATTTACAAATGTCAGAACTAAACTTTAATTGTTACTTAAAAAACAGGTTAGGACAAATTAAGGTTATGAAATTAGAAGTACGCGCAGTGTGTTATAATATTTTAAACTTACCTTTCAAATTACGTCTTCATACGTTGTATTCTTAAACCGACGGTTAAATTTAGCGGCCTATTCTTACGATTATGCCCGAGATGCCTATGGAACTTTCCCGTGTCTCTCTGACACCCGACGTGCGCGAAGTCCCTATGCGCACACGCATAATCGTCTCGTGGGCGCATGTTACTAATAAAAGACTGATTTCGTTCTGATTTCAAACGACTCGCAATGATTTCACGCGATTTCTTACTTATTTTTCTTTGATTACACTGATTACGCTTGTAGTTTCATTTAAATGATTTCAAAATATATTGCAAGATTACACGTGATTACGAATTGATTTCACTGTTGATTACCACATGATTACAAATCAGGTGTACACCTGATTTCATTAGTGAATGGCCCCTCGTTTGTGATAGCTGTTGAGATCTTCTTTCGCTAAATAAATATTAACATTATTTGGAGAGATGGTACAATGATATGTGAAAACGATTAAAAAACATTTGATATTGCAAAGAAAGCGACTTGTTAATTTAACAATCAAGCCATTGTGTTAACGTAACAACACATATTTTGTTGTCACAACTGTATTAATAATCGTGCGTATTGAATTAACTACATATTGATTGCATTAACTATATAATACACTCAATTAACTTGATGTTTGTCCGAGCAAGAACAATTGTGTCAGTATGTGTCGGTTTCAGTCCGAATAATTTCCTCTCGATATAACACGTTTCGAATTATAAGACATTCAATCATACAAACTTTTACTGATCAATCAATTTGTCGTAGAAGAAATTAAAATTTACTTGAAAAATACACACATCTTTAAATAGGTTTTTATACTTCATCTCTGTATTGCTTTCTCATAGAGAAAGCTTTCTTTTCGTAAATTCGTATATGAACCTGTGATTGTGTATAAATTTGGCTTCTCTCTAATCAACCAAATTTAAAAGAATTATATATAAAATAAGGGTAGAAGAAACTAAAGAAAAGGAAAAGATGTTTTTTGAATTTTTGATGTCAATATGTTCAGAGTATTCTAAAACGTCGAAATACCGCATTTAAAAAAAATGTCCGTATGTATGTGTGTATGTGTGTATGTGTGCATTGGTGGGTACCTAAGTCGTCTACAGACGATTCCGAGTCTCGACATCGAACTCGCGAAACTCATGTTCGACCGTTAGACGCCGTGCCGTCGTAAGCGGTGAGATTCCGACGACGGTGACGGGCAGAGGCGCCGTACGGCAAACCAGGCTCGTGCGCGGCGACGACCGGCCCGCTAAGGACCGGCCGCCTAGTAAGTGTGTCACATTGTTTTGAGCCTTTCTACTCACGAGATTCCTAGAAATATCATTGCCACCTTTGACTAGAGAGGATACGGCCTTAGAGGCGTTCAGGCATAATCCCACGGATGGCCTCGCACCACCGGCCGCTCGACCGAGTGCGTGAACCAAATGTCCGAACCTGCGGTTCCTCTCGTACTGAGCAGGATTACTACAGGTGTGCAATGTATGTGTGTATGTGCCAAATTTACCGAAATTTCTATAACTCCAAAACTAATCAACCAAATCTTAATGAATTATATGTGAAATAGGGGTTAGAAAAGACTGAAAAATATAATAGAATTAATAAAAATTGTTAATAATAAAGAGGTTACCGATTTCTGTTAAAAAAAAAAACAACCAAGTTTACTGAAATTTCTATAACTCAAGAATTGAGATTAACTAAATTTTAGAAAATTATATATGAAATAAGGGTAGAAAAAATTGAAGAATATAATAAAATTAATAAAAATTGCTAATAATAAAGGGTTTTTCGATTTCTGTTTAAAAAAATCTACTTGATTGCTCTAATTTCCGCAAATTTTGAGATATCGAGCTTTATTTTTTTTTTTTTTTTATGGATAGAGTATCATTAAAGGTAGGTTGATGTGGAATTTGGCGATGATCGGTGAAGGGGTTACCAATTTTTGCCTAAAAAGTGTATAAGTTATTTTTGCTGCTGTTAAGTACATCGTGAATCGTGGTACGAATCTCTTCAGCCTGATTCTTGACAGTCTCGCGTAAACCCAAACAAGTAACACCATTTTTGTAAAGTAATACGCTATATAGTTATTGAGAATATTATACCAAACAGTTTACGCAAATTGGTGAACAATCCATAATACCACTGCATACAGAAATACATCCAAAAATGATTTGAGAGAAAATCATAGTTATAGTAGCAAGAAGTTGCAAACTAAAAATTATGTTCAGCATCTGTACTGCGTTGCTGATCGTCAGATGTTGCTTCTTCAAAGCCTTAAGTTTCATTAATTATCAGGAATGCATTTCTCTGCTTGTAGTAGAACATCATATTTTTCTTTTTTTTTTTAATATTACATATTCGCATATTTAAAAAAGTTCACCTCTAACAAAATAAACAGTTTCTTTGCTAAAATATCATACAAAAAAAAGTAAAGTGTGCAAGTAGAAACCTGCACATTGCTTCTTCATAGTTTTTAAGTGTGCAAGCCTTTGCTCACAAAGTTTCCTCTATTTGTTTTGGCTAATTCCTCATAGAGGAAGCTTTGTGAGCAAAGGTTTCTACTTGCAAAAAACTCCAGAACTAATCAACCAAATCTTAACGAATTATATATGAAATAGGGGTAGAAAAGACTGAAAAATATAATAAAATTAGAAATAGATCGATATCTCCAAATTTGCGGAAATTAAAGCATAAACAAACATTTCTGCAAAAATTCAAAATTTTATTAAAAAAGAACCCCTTGATTATTAGCAATTTTTATTAATTCTATATATTCTTCAGTTTTTTCTACCCCTATTTCATATATAATTCGTTAAGATTTGGTTGATTAGTTCTGGAGTTATAGAAATTTCAGTAAATTTGGCACATACATACACACATACACACATACATATACACATACCGACATTTTTTAAAATAGCGATTTTTCGACGTTTTAGAACATTCTGAACACATTGGCAAAAGCAACTCAAAAAAAATTTTTTTTACGAAAACAAAGCTTCCTCCATGAGAAAGCAAAAATGGCCCAATTAATATCTCAAAATTTGCGAAAATTAAAAAACCTACAGGCATTTATACTGTGGAAAAATTAAAACTTTCTTAAAATAAAAAAAAATGTAGGGGAAAGTACCCGATTATGAGATACCATACCTATTTTGTGTGATTGCCGGAAGTCTATGGGCAAAATTGAAAAATATAGTAGGTCATTTTGAAGGGAATTTAATAAGCTTTAAGATGCTGATATGTAAAATTTAATTTAAATATTGATTTTTTTGAAAATTAGAAAAATGTAAAAAATAAGTTTTTAAAAAAATCGAAAAAATGTGCTCCTAATATGAGAGACCCCGGGAAGTCGCTAATAAAGTGCAAAATACATGATATTGTAATTAAAAAACTTTATTTAAAGTTTTTGAAAGATAAATGTAATGGAGAAGCATATTTGCAACAATCGTAAACCCACTTATACTCAATATTGTACCTAATCTTCCCCCTCCACCCTTCCCTCTCAAATCAAAGTCAGCACTGTCTTATAAATTCGTATAAACCTTGCCTTAACGTTAATATAGTATTTTCTCTTCTTTTATTACTATACAATAACTTTCATACTCCAGCAACCCAGAAGTACCCTGAGTATCTCATGTTACGAACACCACGCCTTGCGGTTTTGCGATCACCAAATCTAATCTCTACAATTGAGCAACTCAACATATCCCCTATTTTCCTATTAATACGATTTTACTCTATCGCTCCATGCAGAACTTATTGCCAAATATTTATTAATTATATAATAAATAAGGTTTAAAGACTCATATCCATGACACTTGACAACATCCAATTTCACAATTCTTTCTCTGCAACGACTACACGCACGATCAAACAATGAATTTTTCACTAAATAGGTTTTACCTCATAGGCAATAAGTTCATGGTGAAACCAACAGATAGGGCCTATTAGTTTAGCAGAAACCTCGCTGTCGCATATTAGGAGCCTATCTCATAATAGGGGACGTTCCTCTATAAATTTTTATTAAAATAAGAGTAAATAAAAAGATTGTATTACCTTACTTTGCCAAAATATAACGCGATACAGAATTTAAAAAAATAATTTAAAAGTGTGCAAATTAGAAACTTGCACATTACTTCCGTGGAAGAATTAACTAACCGATTGAACAAAATAGAAATAAGAAATATCCACAATTAGTAGGGATCATGAGAGCAAGCGTAGCAGACAGCGCACTCACTGGTC